TTGAACTTGGAAGTGAGGGGTGCAGTGAGCTGAGATTGCCCCAGTGCACAGCCTGGGTGACAGAGTGAGTCTCTGTCTAAAAACAAAACAAAACAAAACTGAGGAAGCAATTAATAAAATATAATGAACAGAATCTCAGAAACAAGGTCAAAAATTTTCCAAAAAGCAAATGGTAGCTTTTGGGGGGTGCTGGGGGGTCCAGGGGGGGTTATCTGTCTGAAAATAAAGAGCCCTTAAAAATTGTATCCAAATTACGTTCAAAATTTGATTATCATTGCAGTGAAAAATGTTGAAAGAGCTCTGTATCAAGAGAATCAAGACTATGTATCTGTATATCTATACATTTGGAAAATAGTTTTAATTAGTCACAAAAACATTGATATCAAAATTTTGACTTGGAACCGGAAGGATATTTTGAATGATAATAGCATATTTTCCATCGTAGGTTACACAGAATAATTTGAGAATGAATATGGAGAGCTTACGTCAAACTGAGTCCATGAACATCAGGTTTTCTCAACTAACAGAGGAAGCAAATAACAAACATCATTCAAAACTACATCAGACTAGTTATCTATAATGAAATCCAAGCCTGGTAAATATTATTTAATGAAATAACAAATCTATTAGTTAGTCCATTCCTAAGTTGATCTGACATAATGGAAGAGTTATTTATTCAATAGAAGCCAGTTAAATGGAAAATATTTTTTTTCTATTTGCTATATAAGCCTGAGTGCCAATGCCTTGGGAACCCATCCATATGGACATTAAGGTTCCTTTGTTTGTGATTTTAGCTGAAAAGGGTTTTCTTCTTGCTCTTTATTTTGAGTCAGCTCTCAAAGTCTTTCAGGTATTAAAGAAATATACAGACAAAGAAACTTTATAGATTTTTATCAGGATAAACTTTCCATAGAGTAGTGTGGAAAAATCAGTCACATCAGATATAAAGTATTCATGAATATTTCTATCAACCCATCAATTCCTGTTATGAGCAAGGGTTTCTTCTAATTTTCAATAACATCATAAATGATCATGTTGAAGACATACTGGTATAGATTTTCATTAACCATGTGTTTTGAACAAACATATTTGTAAACAGATCTTTTCATTACAAACAAGTACAGATGCTCTCTGACTTAGAATGGGGTTACATCCTGATAAACCCATCGTAAGTAAAAAAAAATCATAAATGTAAAATGCAAGTAATACACTGATAAGCCCATTGTGAAGTCAAACAACATAAATCAAGCCATCATAAACTGGGGACCATCTGTATAGTTTTCATTATATGAGATTCCCCATTTATACCGTTTTCTCTTTAATTTTCTTCTCCAACCACCATAAAGAAATAGAAAAATACAACCCCATCAAAAAGTGGGCGAAGGATATGAACAGACACTTCTCAAAAGAGACATTTATGCAGCCAATAAACATACGAAAAAAGCTTATCATCACTGGTCATTAGAGAAATGCAAATCAGGCCGGGCGCGGTGGCTCAAGCCTGTAATCCCAGCACTTTGGGAGGCCGAGGCGGGTGGATCACGAGGTCAAGAGATCGAGACCATCCTGGTCAACATGGTGAAACCCCGTCTCTACTCAAAGTACAAAAAATTAGCTGGGCATGGTGGCGCGCGCCTGTAATCCCAGCTACTCGGGAGGCTGAGGCAGGAGAATTGCCTGAACCCAGGAGGCAGAGGTTGCAGTGAGCCGAGATTGCGCCATTGCACTCCAGCCTCCAGCCTGGGTAACAAGAGCGAAACTCCGTCTCAAAAAAAAGAGAAATGCAAATCAAAACTACATTGAGATACCATCTCACACCAGTTAGAATGGCAATCATTAAAAAATCAGGAGAAAACAGATGCTGGAGAGGATGTGGAGAAACAGGAAAGCTTTTATACTGTTGTGGGAGTGCAAATTAGTTCAGTCATTGTGGACGACAGTGTGGCCATTCCTCAAAGATCTAGAAATACCATTTGACCCAGCAATCCCATTACTGGGTATATACCCACAGGATCATAAATCATTCTATTATAAAGACACATGCACACATATGTTTCTTGCAGCACTGTTCACAACAGCAAAGACTTGGAACCAACCCAAATGCCCATCAATGATAGCCTGGATAAAGAAAATGTGGCACATTTACACCATGGAATACCATGCAGCCATAAAAAAGGATGAGTTCATGTCCTTTGCAGGAACATGGAGAAAGCTGGAAACCATAATTCTCAGCAAAATGGCACAAGAACAGAAAACCAAACACCGCATGTTCTCACCCTTAAGTGGGTGTTGAACAATAAAAACACATGGACACAGGGAGGGGAACATCACACACCAGGGCCTGTTGGAGGGTGGGTGACTAGGGGAGGAATAGCAGAGGGTTGGGAGGCTAGGTGAGGGATAGCATTAGGATAAATACCTAATGTAGATGACAGGATAATGGATGCAGCAAACCACCATGGCACTTGTATACCTATGTAACAAACCTGCACATTCTGCACATGTACCCCAGAACTTAAAGTATGATACTACTAATAATACATACACCAAAAAAAATTAACCAGGAGTGGTGTCGGGTGCCTGTAATCCCAGCTACTTGGGAGGCTGAGGGAGGAAAAAAAAAAGAAATAGAGCAATCCAGCAGCTAAGTAAAAGACCTATTCTGGGCCAGGCACGGTGGCTCACGCCTATAATCCCAGAACTTTGGAAGGCCGAGGTGAGTGGATCACGAAGTCAGGAGGTCAAGACCAGTATGACCAAGATGATGAAACACCGTCTCTACTAAAAATACAGAAATCAGCCAGGAAAGGTGGTTCAAGCCTGTAATTCTAGCTACTTGAGAGGCTGAGGCAGGAGAAAAGCTTGAACCTGGGCAGCAGGAGCAGCAGAGGCTGCAATGAGCTGAGATCGCATCGCTGCACTCCTCCAGCCTGGGCAATGATGAGATGTCTCAAAAAAAAAAAAAAAAAAAAAAAAAAAACTATTCTGCCATTCATATCACAAAAGATTGATGTTAAGAAAACAATTCCTAGTGAGTTGATTAACTGGACCTAAAAATTAAAAAAGAAGAAAGAAAGAAAGAAAAGAAGAAAGAAAGAAAAGAAGAAAGAAAGAAAAAGAAAGAAAGAAAGAAAGAAAGAAAGAAAGAAAGAAAGAAAGAAAGAAAAGAAAAGAAAAGAAAGAAAATAATTCCTGGTTGGGCACGGTGGCTCATGCCTGTAATCTCAGCACTTTGGGAGGCCAAGGCAGGCAGATCACCTGAGGTCAGGAGTTCAAGACCAGCCTGACCAACATGGAGAAACCCCGTCTCTACTAAAAATACAAAATTAGCTGGGAATGGTGAACTTATGCCTGAAATTCCAGCTACTCAGAAGGCTAAGGCAGGAGAATCACTTCAACCTGGGAGGTGGAGGTTGCAGTGAGCCGAGGTCACTGCACTCCAGCCTGGGCAACAAGAGCAAAACTCAGTCTCAAAAAAAAAAAGAAAAGGATTCCTAAAAGCCAATGAAAACAAATGATATCACAAGTCCTTTTGTGAAGTAATAAGATATAAATAACAATAAATGAAAATTAGTTGAGAATCACAGTCCCTGCAGATACTACTTCTTTGAGGAGGCTTTCTGAAAGCATCACAGATGCCATCTAGATATATAATCCTAGAGGTCCAGCGACTATCCAGAGGGAAATGTTAACTCTGAATCAAGTAATCAGGCAGTTAAGAGGCCTAATGTACTCAGTGTCTAGATAGTACATAGCAAGAACTATTTTAGGTGCACAGGAAAGAAAATAATTCATAACACTATACACTAAACAGCTTGCTTGTCTTCCAGACCCTAGTTAAGAAAGGTTGCTTGACAAGGTGTTTGTTCATATATGTGGAAATAATTAACCAGTGATGTGGTAAACAGATGACTGCTAACTAGAAATCCATCACTATGTAAACAATTGTGTGGATTTCTGAAAACTTTTATTTCATATACTGTTATTTTTGTCAGTTCTTTAAATCCTCTGGTCAGAGCACCATTGAGAATGACTAGAATGCAAACCTTTACAGCCCACCTGAAAACAGTATGAAGTAAGTGAAGGAAAAAAGAAACCCATTTTAAGCTTTAATTACAAATTCTTGTCTAGGTATTGGTTTTACAGAACAGTAAATCAGATGTAAATGATTGAGACATTTCAAGTTATGTAACAATGACTCTGAAAAAGGTGAGCTTCCTCCATACCTGAGTACCTGATGCTATCTTAGACCTACTCCTTTTAAGCACCAATTATTTTTTCCCATCTATGCCAGCTGTTGTTATTAGGCATCAAAATTATTTCTTGCACCAGGTAAAGTCTCAAGCAGAAGAGGAGACTGGAAATCAAAGATGATATTAAGTTAGCTTTCAGAAACTTGTTTCCAGCACTGTGCCGAGGCTTTTCAGGGCCAGCCTGGTCTGGAAGCAAAACTCTATAGTGGCTGCACTCTGGGGTGAAGACATTGGCCTTGTCTGCTCCAGCATCACAAGTCAGGATACCTGGCTGCTGTACCAGCCCCCTGTCTAACATGACAAACTAATGTGCCAAAGTAATCAGAAACAGACATTCTCTACTGACTTTCCAGGACTGCAGAAAAAGTCACTTCATGCTACTGAAAATATAGCCTGGCATTTTTAAAACCTAGTTTTTGGATCACTTAAAATATGTCAAATTTAGTGGAAAACTGAAAAAGATCTTTTTCCTCTTCCTTACAGAGTTTTTCAATTTGCCCTAAGCCCTTTTAAGCACTTCCAATAGTAACCATCAGGCTGACAGACCACAGACCCCTTTATTACATTAACAAATATACTGGTAATTCCAATGAGAGACTTAACAAATTCTCAAGGGTTACCTCAGGACTTTTAAAATCACACTGTGGAGAGTATAAAATATTTTCCTATGTTGGCTCAAATATGCAGTAGGATAACACTTTTAATGTGTTAATAAGACGTGATAAAAACATAGGTCTACAATGAACATATGTGAAAAAGATATTTAATTGCAAAATAGAAAAGTAGGCCAGAGTACAGTTTTAAGGGTAATTGCTTCTTTATACAGTATAGATAACCCAGAGGGATTTTAGGGTTAAACATTTTCATAAAGCAATAAAACACTGAAAAATAAAGCAAGAAAAAAGGTTTGAAGTAATGTTTTACCAAAAAAATAAAATAAAATAACAGTCTGCCAGTGTTTAATATCCATACATTGTGGAATTCAACAATATTGTGATGAGAGCAAGTCATAGCACAGACATTGAGCTTGCAAAGGGAAAAGCAGAAGCTACATTAGACATGTCTATTGCATCACTGTAGTACAAAAGTTCCTGTTCTACATACAAAAGCAATTTTTTTCCATAAGAATAATTTCCTGGGGAGAAATAAGTCCATAAAATATTTCAGAAACCCATATGCATTGAGTTTTCCAAAAACATTATCTTAAAATCCAGTGCCTTAAAGTGCTTACATGTGGAAATCATAATGGAAGGCACGGAATACAGTTTCACATCCCCACCATTAAATTTTCGAAAAAGCACAGATTTTGCAGAATTGGCAAATTCAAGTTATCTAGTAGGCTGCTCCTTCCAAGAACATTGTCATTCTAATAAAACCAGCTGCTAGTTTACTTAGTTTCAATGACCTACACAGGGAAAGGGTGGGTTTTGTTTTTGTTTTTTTCTGGTCACTTTCATCATTTTTGTGGGAGAAATACCTATAAAAGTGATGCATTTTGAAATTATAAAACATGCAGAATATGTACAAACAGAAAGTTTAAAAAATATTTGCTTCATATACATGTAAATCTACTTGGGTATAGCTGAAATTGAACAAATATAAAAATTTTACTTTCTAAAAAATGTTTTCAGAGAATCTGAGACAACTTAAAGCTGTACAAAGATTTCCTGGGAGAAATCTTCTCTTCATATAGAGGTTTATACCTACAGGAGTAATTCCAGCATCAGTCCACCATAATTACTACACAACATTTGGTCTAATCAACAACGATCACCCTTAAAACTGTTCTGTTTCTGAGAAATTAAGGTTTGTACTAAAATCAAAAAGAATTCACAAAAACAGTGGCTTATTGTGGTTTTGGATCTCTTCAACAATCTTTATCAACTCATTTGAAACTGTAAAAAAAACAAAAACTATTTACAGAATTCAGTTTTAAATACATTTCACAACTTCTAAAGTAAAGTTTTATGTTACAAGAATTCAGAGCTCATGGCTTAAGTCCAATTATCAAGCTGTAGTCTCTTCTCTTATCCTGTATTCTCATGGCTGTACCTTTGTTGTGTACAGTTCAAGATTGTATTATTTCTTGACCAAAAGTAAAATCAAACTACAAGTTTGTTTCAATTAAACAGCTTCTTTATTAGTCTGAAGACGAGTCATAGCTTCTAACTTCTGTCTGTAGGCCTCTGCTTCCTGTTCTTTCTTTAGAAGCTGCTGTCGATATTTTTGTGCTTCTCGATTTGCTTCATCCAGCTGTTTCTGAAGAGCTTCTCTCTCCTAATTAAAAGAAAGGGTTTTTTTTTTTAATTTTTTCAAAACTAGGTTATTAACACATATAAGCATGCATCTTTCAAATTAAAAAATAAAACTGTAGTAGCTAACAGCAGCCACCTGTTGAAATTTCCTAGCCATCTTGCCTTTTCAATCAATTCACCAATATCTAAGTCACTAATTTTGTGCTCTACATTATGAGATATGAATTAGTTTCTGATCTCAAGGAAATTATTTTCTTATTTAGAAATAAGACTGATAGAAAGACTCCAAACTGGACACCTGTATCCTTATATGTACTACAGAAACTAGCAAAGAGTTTTTAAGAGTTTTTATACAACCAAATCTCTTCGTATTCCCATTTGTGGTGCTCTTACCTAATAGTATAATTACAAATATACTATTAGGTAATAATGATAAAACAATTTTACTAAGCACCCACTGTATGAGTAAACAGGGTGATTTCCAATAATAAGCTTCTAAGACAGATATTCTGCCCATGTTACAGATGAGAAAACTGATGCTCAGAGATGATGCAGCTTTCCCAAGGTCACACAGTAAGAAGTTGGATTTATAGGATTCTTATATTACCACTTTTAAAACTATTTTCTCATTTACAATAGCAAGTAAGATAATTCATCTTTAAAATAAAGAGTGATGAACAAGATCAGTATTTCCACTATTTCATAAACAAATAAAATACTAAATTATCAATAATTATATATGTACAAAATATGTATTAAATTCCTCAGTAAATTGAGAGCTGAAACACAAATCCAATCCAATGAAAATGGTATTCTTTCTCCTCTTCCTCCTCATTCTGCCCCTATTCAGTTATCACAGGAAAAACAAGAAAAAGCATTTCAAATAACCCATTCCCACATCTCTAAGAAAGCAGAGGGACAAAAGTTCAACCTGCACAGACCAAAGCTCAAGGTTAGTTTCCAGAGTCTTAGGAATGAAGCAATCTAGTCACAGATGCCCAGGACCTCTTAGTGGGATAGAGGCCAGGGGTAGGACTATCACAAGAAAGGTAGGTCCACACTGGACAAGTCACTTGGCCAGAGGGAACTAACGGTGAGTGGTTGGCAGACTGCTGGGGAGGCGTGGTATGTGGTTCTTTTTATTCTGTATATCCACACTGCCTCCTTGATTCTTGTCCATTGCGAGCACCAAAGGATTCCTCACCTTCACTATTCACATGGTTGGTCTACAAGGAGGAGCATGTATAATCCTGCCTTTCTGTGATTCCACTTCCTTCCCCACAATGAGAGTAAAGCTAGATCCAACATTTCTTTTTCTCATGGGCCCACCAGATAAGGGAGTGATTCATTTGGAGACAAGTGGTCTCCAAATCTTCTAATTACACAAAATGTACAAGTAAAAGAAAGGAATACGCCTTACGCCCAATTAAGCAATGCCTAGGCCCTATCCTGCTGCCTCCCTACACTTCTACTCTTCTCTTATCCTACCTCTAGCCAAGATGATAGTGTAGGAACAAGTCAGAAAAAACACCCTAGGATGAGTCCAAGGTAAGCAATCAATATCAGCCCCCTGGCTACAAACTATGCAGGACTTTAAGGATACAAATGAAAGGGGTGAGGGGTGAAACGTTGGATGTTACTTCCCAGGAGCTAGACCCCACCTCTGGCAGGAGTGCCCATAGCTATGCATGTGTTATAAAACTACATGTAGCTGAGCACAGTAACTCACACCTGTAATGTCAGCACTTTGAGAGGCCAAGGCAGGTGGATCACTTAAGCCTAGGAGTTTGAGACAAGCCTGGGCAACATGGCAAAATCTCTACAAAAAAATATACAATTTAGACGGGTGTAGTCGCATGCGCCCGTAGTCCCAGCTGCTTGGGAAGCTGAGGTGGGAGGATCATTTGAACTCAGGAGGCTGAGGTTGCAGTGAGCAACCCCACTGCACTCCAGCCTGGGTGACAGAGCAAGAATCTGTCTCAAAAAAATAAATAAACAAAAATGTACATGTATGTGAAAAATAAGATCAATCCTTTGGTAGTCAAAGTTTTAAACATGGGTAAAAATTTACATTGATTAGCAGGAAATATTGGAAGAGGTTAACTTTAAAGTTAGTATTACCTATTTATTACCATTTAAAGTCAGGAAAGGATTCACAATTATTGCACAAGATGAAAGCAAACCAAGTGAGGTAGTCTAACAGTGAAAAGAGCTTAATTCTATTTTCCATGTTGCATATTTTAATCTCGAGAAGTAAAATTTATCTTGATAAAAATGAAAAGACAGTGCCCTTTAAAAACTCATTTTCGGGCCGGGCGCGGTGGCTCTCTCCTGTAATCCCAGCACTTTAGGAGGCCGAGGCGGGTGAATCACGAAGTCAAGAGATCGAGACCATCCTGGTCAACATGGTGAAACCCCGTCTCTACTAAAAATACAAAAAGTTAGCTGGGCACGGTGGCGCATGCCTGTAATCCCAGCTACTCAGGAGGGCTGAGGCAGGAGAATTGCCTGAACCCAGGAGGCGGAGGTTGCGGTGAGCCGAGATCATGCCATTGCACTCCAGCCTGGGTAACAAGAGCAAAACTCCGTCTCAAAAAAAAACTCATTTTCACAGCATTTTTGGGCTAATTCTATATAACCTAGAAGACAAAGATCATTAGCACTGCATGCTGAATACATTTAATCTTTAAGAATGCAAGTATAATGAACACTATAAAATTTTTAAGAGTTTTCACTATTTTACTTACTTCTCAGAAATATAGGTATTTGGGGAGAGAATCTTTTTGCCATCTCACTTTTCAAAGCAAATAAAAATAACTAAAAAGTGGAAAATATCACTCCCTTTTTTTTTTTTTTTGAGACAGTCTCACTCTGTCACTGAGGCTGGAGTGCAGTGGCGTGATCTCAGCTCACTACAACCTCCGCCTCCTGGGTTCAAGCAATGATCTGCCTCAGCCTCCCGAGTAACTGGGATTACAGGTGCCCGCCACTATGCGCGGCTAATTTTTGTATTTTTAGTAGAGACGGGGTTTGACTATCTTGCCAGGCTGTTCTTGAACTCCTGACCTCAGGTGATCCACCTGCCTCAGCATCCCAAAGTGCTAGAATTACAGGTGTGAGCCACCACATCCGGTCTTATTTTACTCAGGGATCCTTTGTTTCCAAATTTATTTGTCAAATGTTTACTGAACATGTATCACATGGAAGACACTTCCTTAATTTAAACAGTAGTTTGGTTGTTTCACATGTAAATAGTGCAACAGACTGGCATTTGAGATTTATATTTAAATAGATATGCCAATATTATGGCTTTCATCTTTTGCAATAAAAACACAGCAAAAAGAATTTTCACATTTTTAAGTAAAGACAGTTTAGCCTACCAATATGTAATACTAAAACATTTTTACCATAACAGTCTAACATTAAAGAATTCCAAGAAAAATACATCCTAATGATCAACAAGATTTGGCAGCAATATGGAAAACGTTTATCTTATGATACAACTACAAACCCAAGCAATATATTATTACTATTACATTAGCAATGGAATAACAGAGCAAGACTGAGTTTGCTTTTTAAATTTTAAACATAATTCTTGCATTCTGCTCGACTAGCAGCAATGATCGCTAACAGTTTAATCATTTTTAATATATAATTTGCTAATATTCAAATTTATATTTTGCTTTTCCTGTTATAAGGCAAAAATGTCATTATAGTGATTTATCTTCTACCATACTTCATATAAATTTTAGAATAACAACTAATTTATTAAGCATTTACTGTATGCCAGCCATTATACTAGTCCTTCACATGCCTTCTCATTTAATCCTAATAACAATCTTGTAATAATGTAGGTACTATTATTTCTTCCTTTTTACTGATGAGAAAGCTAAGTCTTGACAGGTTAAATAACTTGATCAAAATCACACAATCAGACAATTACAAAATAAAATTTAAATCTAAATTTGATTCCAGACCCATATTCCTAACCACTAAATGCTTTTTAAAAGAGAGAAACTGGGAAGGGGTATGTGAGCTGTTTGCTTGTGTGTAAACATCAATTTTCTAACTGCCCTGGAACAAACAGGACAACTATGATTTTATTTTTATAAATAAAGTTTTATTGAAATACAGCCACACCATCCATTTTAAAATTGTCTATGGTTGCTTTCACCACAATGGCAGAATTGAGTAGTTGACAAAGAGACTGTAGAGCCGATAAAGCCAAAAATATTTGGTACCTGGCCATTTATGGAAAAAAAAAACTTTGCCTTCTCCAGCCTTAGAAAAAAAGACTTATCAAAGAGATATGGACTGGGTGCTGGGCACGTAGTGGCTCATGCCTGTAATCCTAGTACTTTGGGAGGCAAAAGCAGGTGGATTGTTTGAGCCCAGGAGTAAGAGACCAGGCTGGGCAACAAGGCAAAACTTTATCTCAAACTCCTGACCTCAAGTGATCCTCCCACTCAGCCTCCCAAAGTGCTGGAATAACAGGTGTGAACCACTTTGCCCAGCCACAAAACCTTGTCTCTACAAAAAATACAAAAATTGGCTGCACATGGTGGTGCATGCCTGTAGTCCCAGCTATTCAGGAGGCTGTGAGATGGGAGGACCACTTGAGCCCAGGGAGGTCAAGGCTGCAGTCAGGTATGATTGGACCACTGCACTGCAGCCTAGGCAACACAGTGAGACCCTGTCTCCAAAAATACATATATAAAAATAAATACAAACATACATACATAAAAACATTAATTTAAAAAAAGAAAGAGAAGAGATATGACCTGGACATGGTGACTTATGCCTGTAATCTCAGCTCTTGAGGATGCTGAGGTGAGAGGATGGCTTGAAGCCAAGAGTCCAAGACCAGCCTGGGCAACATAGCAAGACCCCCTCTCTACAAAAAGAAAAAAAAAAACTTAGCTGGTATAGTGGTCCCAGCTACTTGGGAAGCTGAGGTAGGAAGCTTGCTTGAGCCCAAGAGTTTGAGGTTGCAGTGAGCCATAATTGCACCACTGCACTTCTGCCTGGGTGACAAAGTGAAACCCAGTCTTAAACAAAACAAAACACCAGAGATGTGACTATAAACATTTTTAAATTTTGGCAGATCAGGAACAATAGCCATTAAAAAAAAAGAAAGAAAGAAAAGCTTTGCACCAAATAAAACATTTTACAAAGTTTACAGCAGTCCGTTTCTAAAAGAACACTAAGGATCTAAAATCTACCACAAGTTAAAGGAAACAAATATTTCATTAAAAATAAAATTTACAGCTGTGCAGTGGCTCATGCCTATAATCCCAGCACTCTGGGAGGCTGAAGCAGTCGGATCACCTGAGATCAGGAGTTTGACCAGCCTGGCCAACATGGTGAAACCCTGTCTCTACCAAAATACAAAAATTAGCCAGGCGTAGTGGTGCATGCCTGTAATCCCAGCTACTTGGGAGACTGAGGCAGGAGAATCACTTGAACCCAGGAGGTGGAAGCTACAGTGAGCCAAGATCACGGCACTACACTCAAGCCTGAGGAAGAGAGACTCTATCTAAAAGTAATAAAATAAAAATTATCGATCAATATATTTATCTCTAACATCCATGGCAAAGAAAACATACAATGCCGGACGCAGTGGCTTATGCCTGTAATCCCAGCACTTTGGGAGGCCGAGGCAGGTGGTTCACGAGGTCAAGAGATCGAGACCATCTTGGTCAACATGGTGAAACCCTGTCTCTACTAAAAATACAAAAAATTAGCTGGGCATGGTGGCGTGTGCCTGTAATCCCAGCTACTCAGGAGGCTGAGGCAGGAGGCAAGAGTGAAACTCCGCCTCAAAAAAAAAAAAATCATAAAATAACAATATTTCCTGAAGTCACACAATAAAGTAAGTAATAGAGAAAACCTTACTCCTAATATACTAAATACATTTCTTCCACATGTACAAAGATTAATTTCAATTCAGAATAGTCTAATGTTTATTTTTGGAAATCTGTAAAGAACACTCTTCCTCCAAAAATACCTTCAATGCAATAATAAATGGAAGATTAAATTATATACATTATTGCAATGTGGTGTCTTATTCATACCTTTCCCTCCAAAAAACAAACCTATTTTATTTCTTATATTGCCATATGTAGCCACAAAATTTACAATACACTTTCTACAATTTAATGTAATTTTTCCAGAGATTCTTGGCAAACCTCTCCAATGTTAATTGGGAAACTGTAAATATAAATTTTTAGCACCTTCTTTTTTTTTTTGAGACAGAGTCTCACTCTGTCAACCAGGCTGCAATGCAGTGGCACGATCTTGGCTCATTGCAATTTCTGTCTCCTGGGTTTGAGCAATTCTCCTGCCTCAGCCTCCCGAGTAGCTGGGATTACAGGCGCATGCCACCACACCCAGCTAATTTTTGTATTTTTAGTAGAGATGGGGTTTTGCCATGTCAGCCAGGCTGGACTCGAACTCCTGACCTCAGGTGATCCACCCGCCTCAGCTTCCCAAAGTGGTGGGATTACAGGCGTTAGCCATTGCGCCTGGCCAATTCTTAGCACCTTCTTTATGGACAGTCACTCTGGTCATTATATTCAGTACACGGAGAAAACCCAAATGTTAGATTTTACATAGCGTTAATTTATAAATTTCTTTAAAGCAAAGTTTCTCAATCTCAGCATCATTGATATTTGAGGGCCACACAATTCTTTATTTGGTTGTTTTGTTTTTGAGATGAAGTCTAGCTCTGTCACCTAGGCTGGAGTACAGTGGCATGACCTCGACTCACTGCAACCTCCACTTCCTGGGTTCAAGCAAGTCTCCTGCCTCAGTCTCCCCAGTAGCTGGGATTACATGCACCCGCCACCACGCCCAGCTAATTTTTGTATTTTTAGTAGAGATGGGGTTTCACTGTGTTGGCCAGGCTGGGCTCAAACTCCTGACCTCGTGATCCACCCGCCTCGGCTTCCCAAAGTGCTGGGATTACAAGGTGAGCCACCATGCCCAGCCAGGCCACACAATTCTTTACTGTCGGAGGCTGTCTTGTGCATTATAGGATGTCTACCCAGCCTCTACCCATTAAATGTCAGTGGAATGCCACTAGTCATGACAACCAAATATATCTCCCCACACTACTTTAGAAAAACTTTTTCAGTTAATGGTCAAGCTGTCCTTTAGGAGTATAAAAGTCTGCCCCCAAGATAACCCCATTGGCCACCTAAGAAAATAAATTCAAAATAACGACTTCATGTAGTATAAGGAAATGATTACCTGGTTTGGTGAAAACATTGGAGGTCATCTCTTCATTCTACATTTCCAGCCTACCACTACCTGTACACTCACTGTATGCTTCCAGGTTTCTCTGAAATAGCCCTAAGAGGTCATGCAACCTTGACTTGAATGTTTCCAGTGACAGAGAATAAGATTTCCATTACCAGAAAGCTCTAATTACTAAAATCAAAACAAAGCAAGCAAACAAAAACCAGTGTTCTTTATACCAAGCTAAAACTCAGTCTCCCTAAAGCTCTACCTCCTTGGCCCTAGTTACTTTATATAGTAAAAAACTCATACTTCCCTGTTACTTGCAATTATTTTCCCTGGTCTCTCAGACCGTAAGAGAGAAATCAGGCTGAACTTTGGCTCACTGGTCACTATGCAAATAAAGGTATAGGCTGCACATTCATTGTTTAAAAATATAATTTGTTGAATTAAATAAACTTATATTTAATAGAAATTCAAGTAATTTTAAAAGAATACTTTATTAAATAGTTAAAGCAAAGTACATGACAATTTTTTTACCTTATGTGTCTGAAAAAGGTCATCTGACATATCAGAAAAACACAACAAAAATTATTAAATAATAAGTATACTGATACCATTCAATGGGAAAATTGATAGTTTGTGAATAAGGACTTCAACATCCTGCACATCACTTTAAATCTTGAAGAAATAAAACAAGGCAGTATCAATATTTAAAGTCATAATTTTACCAAATATTTTGGTTAAATCATTAACCGGATTCTTTTAAACTCAAAAATATATTTGTGGTGTGGCCAAAAATGTACCAGTCTTATATTTACATGAATTTAGGAAGGGCATTTCCTCATTATCTTTAGTTTGACTTATGTTGCCTTTTAGTGATTTTTTAAATCTCCGTTATATAACAAGAATCTTTACAAAATATTACTAAATATTCACCAAATTTACTACACACACATATCAGATAAAAATACTGTATGACTGTGCTGACTTTTTCAATTCTCATAAAAACCCAAAAATGGAGACGTTATTATTCTAAATTCCACTTTGGAATATAATAAAACTGAAACTCAAAGATAAGGTTCGTTGCTTCAACGCTAATAGAGCAAGAGGTGAGATTCAAACTCAGCTCATTCGACTTCAAGTTCAGTGGTTGCAGTTGTTCTTTCAAAGTTATTCAAGAATAACTTTGTTTTCATCTGATATAACTTATTACCAAGTTCAGGAAACAAAATTTTATTTATAGTCAGTCAAGAAGAAAACCTGTGAGACAACTATGGTTTGATACACCTACAAACTGGTTTACACTTACAAACTACTTTGAGAGAAGGAAAAAAAAAGCTGAATCCTATGAACAGCTAGTCTAAATTCATTTACTTTCCTTAAAATAAGCAATTATCTACCACTTTAAAAAAAGAACCCATATGACAAACATTAACCTTCTTTAAGAGGACCCATTAGCCCAATTAGGCATTTGAGGTTCAGTTTTGAATGGAAAAAAAATTTTAGCCAATATATACTGGTATTATCCTTTAGTAACTTGTAAGAATGGTGTGTTTACGTTTAAAATATAAAGGATGAAGTGCAAGAACCAAAGACATTCCAGTGTTATCAAATGACAGACTGTTATAAACAAATTCTTCACTCACTCATTCATTCATTCAATATTTATTTATTGAGGGCTTGCTATATGTATAAGGCAAAAAAAAAACAAAATGAAAATACTATGCACTTTCATTCTATATCAAAACAATACTGTCAGTAATAAATATAAAAGAAAAAAAATTGAATTTATTTTGGATGACTGCAGCAAAGCACACCGGGTAAAAGACTCCTTACTTCTATTTCTGCAGATTCCACCCGGTTTTCAATTATTTCGATACACTGTCTCTTAGCTGGTGGTTCTTCACTTATAACAGTTTCTTCAGCAATGTCTGTTGCTGGTACTGTTAATACTAAAATGAAAAAAAAGTATGCATTACTTCATTTTCAGAGAGGTTTATTAGAAATAAAACTAGTCTTGACATTGTTGATGCTACTCATCTTAAATAAATACATTCCAAAACAATGATTCCAAGTCATTGATTTGCTTTTTATGAGACTATCCATATTTGTCTTTATTTTAACCTTCTTGCTTTTTTACTGAAATCTACTTACTAAAGTACCTACATATATTTTTTTGATTATATAGATAATATAGTCATTCATGACTCAAACATCAAAATATTTAACAAGTATATTTTGAGAGGCCTCATTGCCCACCCCTGCTAACAGATAATCATTTTATTAATTTATTATATCCTTATATTAATTTGTGTTTAAAAACTAGTATACATTCTCATTTTTCTTTCTTACATAAAAGGGAGCATATATACACTACATATATTGTTCTGCTTCTGCTTTTTTCACTCCAAATACTTACAGTATCTTACATCATTATATAGAGAGCTTCTTTTTATTTAGCTGCGTAACATCCACGATGTGGATATCTCATTATGAGCACTGACTGTTCATAAACATTGCTTGTTTTTGTATTGGACTGTTGGACTTTTTCTCAATTTTCAGTAGTTTATATAAATGTAAATATAGAGAAAGGCTGTCCTTGTTTTGCACAGCAGCACAGAAACATAAAAACAACTGTGCAAGCTGAAACCACGTGAAGCCATCTTAATAATCACAATGGGGAAAATTACAATTGTTCTATGACCTTTAAAATATTTTGCCAAAACATGAAAAACTCTCTTAGTGACAGTTATAAATGTTAGTAAAAATTCAAAAATAATAAAAATAATATTTATTTAGTACAATGTAATTTAAAGCATTAAATACTGAGAATTAGGGTTTTACTTCTTTTTATTCATGACATTTAAAAATTGAGAATTTATATCTGTTTTATTAAACTGTACAGTCTATACAATTCACATGTTAGCTATATATTTTTAATTCAGGAAGGTTTTTAAAGTTTATTTTTCTTAATATTCAGGAGAACTCTCTCATTGCTATTCTTTTCCAGAGTTTTCCTTATTTTTCCTCCCTCTGCCCCTCAACATAAACTTTAGAATCCATTTGGCTAATTATAGAAAAAAACTTGATCTTTGTTATGGGCTGAATGGTACTTTCACTCCCCAAATTTATATATTGAAGTCCTAACCCCCAGTACCTCAGAATGTGACTCTATTTAGAAACTAAGTCCTTAAACAGATAGTTAAGGTAAAATGAGATGGGCCCTAATCCAGTATTACTGGTGTTCTTACAGGAGAGGAGATTAGGACACAGATAACACACACAAACTGAGGTCGACCATGTGAGGACAAGCCAGAAGACGCCCATCTGCAAACCAAAGAGAGAAGCCTCAGAAGAAACCAAACCTGCCAATACCTTGATCTTGCACTTCTAGCCTTCAGACCTGTGAGTAACCATTAGTCTGTATAATGATACAGGTTTTGGAAACAATGTTATATCTGCTTGATACAAACATTTTGAAAGTTTTCTTCTTTTCTAAAAATTAGAATTAGTTCTATAACGCTTTGTGAAAGCATCTGACCCTAATCCAAATTTCAGACCAGCTATCAGCAGAAGATTTCAGCAGAGTGGGACAGAAAGGCCTCCTAGTCACAGGTCAAGGGTTTCCTCTTCTATGGCTAGAGAACAAACTCCTTTCTTGAAATGGTCTCTGTTCAATGCCATGCCTCCTCTGTCACTCAAAACCAAACCTGATTTAGCCAAATTCTACCTCTAGCCCTGCCCTTCACTGGCCATGAAAGGCACATGTTCTACAATCCTACTCATTTTCTTTACTTCTTTTTTTCTTCTGGAGACAGGGTCTCACTCTGTCATCCACACTGAAGTACAATGGTGCAATCATAGCTCACTGCAGTCCCAAACTCCTGGGACCAAGTGATCCTCCTGCCTCACCCTTCCAAGTAGCTGGGACTACAGGTGCATGCCACCATACCTGGCTAATTTCATTACTTTTATTTGTGTAGAGACGGGTATCATTATGTTGCTCAGGCTGGTCATGAACTCCTGGCCTCAAGCAATCCTCCCACCTCAGCATTCCAAAGTGTTGGGATTATAGGCATAAACCACCATTCCCAGTCCTAGTCATTTTCTTTAAGATTATGTGCTGACACTTCTTTAGGGGGAGACAAGGTACAGGGCAATACTTAGGAACTTTCTGCAGCTTCTCTCTTTGCCTCCCACAGTATTCACACCCTATTCTATCTTAGTCCTGCTTGCAGCACTTCCTACTCAGTCTGGGACCCTATCCTTCTGGGAGAGCATGTTTGTCTTTATTGCCGAGTTTAATTCCGTTTCTTTACTTGATGTACCAGTGTGGATTTCCATCAGAGTCCTCTTGCCCTTGCTGTAATGGCTTCAGATGCTTTTGACACACTTAAAATGTGGAATTCTGGGGTTTTCTCAGCCTTTTAGTTTCACTGAAAATATAGTTGAGGCTTTTGTTTCATCCATCTTGTTAGCCTTTGTGGCTTCCAAAAGGAGAAATATATTAGAATTCACAATAAAGCTGCTAAAAGTTGCTACCATATTCCTACTAAAAGTCCCAAGTCCATTTTTTTTTCTTTTTCTTTTTTTGAGAAAGAGTTTCTCCCATTGCCCAGGCTGGAATGCAGTGGCACGATAATGGTTCACTGCAGCTTCAACCTCCTAGGCTCTAGTGATTCTCCCACTTTAGGCTCCCAAGTAGCTGGGACTAACGGCAAATGTCATCATGCCTGCCTAATTTTTTAAATTTTTTTTAGACATGGGGTTTCACTATGTTGCATAGGCTCCAACTTCTTTTGAAGTAGCTTTTTCTTACATGGTATTTTTAAAAGCTCACATGGTATTTGAATTGCATTAAATGGTCTAGAAAACTACTGTCCCATGCTGATCTGAATTATTATTTCGTGTATTATCTGTGGTGACATTTAAGTTCATTTTTTTCACCAGAACACTTTGGGGTCAATTTCTCTTTATACCTAGCATATACTCAGAGAAATCAAGCTAATTTAATTTTAATTATCCTAAGCAATAAAATTAGGTAATTAGGTCTACCGCAAAGGGTCATACAAATATAATTCAAGGCAAAAATAAACGCTTTGGAACACATATCACAATTTCCTGAGAATTAAAAATAAAAATAGTCTTTTTGGACTACAGAGAAGACTTAAAGAAAATAAAAATAAAAAAATAAACAAACACAAACTTTATATAAATGTCTACTACTAACCTTGTTGTCCATCTGGCATGGTTACAATGATGGGCTGACCAATTCCACTGGTTGGAATAGAGTGCAAATTTCCAAGCTGAATTCCATCTGTGACTATTGTGATGACTTGCTGACCCCCTGAACTAACTACTTGCTGAATTGCACCATCTACAGATTCTGCAGTAACCACTTCCTCCGTGGCCACTACTGGAAAAAAAAAAAGAAAGAAAGAAAATTCAGCAAACATACGTAACAGTATGAACAGAAATCTATTTTTGCTTTGTCTGCTACTTTTGCTATCTCTGCTTCTTTCTTTTTTCTTTTCTTTTTTTCTTTTTTCCAAATAGAGACAGGGTCTCACTCTGATGCCCACACTGGAGTGTAGTGACACAATCATGGATCACTGCATCCTTGAACTCCTGCACTCAAGTGATCCTCTTGACTCAGCCTCCCAAGTAGCTGAGACTACAGGTATGTACCACCATGCCTGACTAGTTTTATTTTTTTTAGAGATGGGGTCTTGCTATGCTGGCCAAGCTGGTCTCAAACTCCTGGCCTCGAGCAAGCCTCCTGCCTTGACCTCCCAAAGTGCTGAGAATTACAAGCATGAGCCACCACACAGGCCTCCTGCTTCTTTCTTACCCAGGAAAACTTGTACAAGATTTCAAAATTCAGTCTCCAGTGGTACTGGAGATATCTATGTAACTAGTTGATTACAAGTCTCATAATTTACAATACATAAGTTCCAACTATCTTTACATGTGAGTGGTTAAATAATTTCTCTTCATTTGGTTGTATGAGGTACAAAATTTAGAAAATCTAATATCATGAGAAAGGTTATATCTGTTTCGTGACACCTCACAATTAAGTTGGGTACTGGTGGCTCAGGCCTGTCATTCCAGCATTTTGGGAGGCCAAGGCGGGATATCCCTTGAGGTTGGGAGTTCAAGACTAGCCTGGCTAACATGGCAAAACCCCATCTCTACTAAAAATACAAAAATTAGCTGGATATGGTGGTGCATGCCTAGAATCCTAGATACTCAGGAAGCTGAGGCAGGAGAATTGTTTGAACCCAAGAGGTAGAGGTTGCAGTGAGAAGAGATCATGCTACTGCCCTCCAGCCTGAGCAACAGAACAAGACTCTGTCTCAAAAAAAAAATTCACAATTCATAAGATGATCTGAATATGATTATACTCAGTTTACATTTATGTATGAGTTGACATACAGAATAAAGAATATTCTCTTTTTGGATTAAGTAAGGATTTGCCTTAATATAATCAGTGGCATACAGATGTGGTACTATGTGACAGTAAATAGTATATTAACATTTCCATACATAAAGTCCCTAAATATGCTCTAAATAATTTATGACAGCCTTACAGAGGATTCTGACAGCTAAAGCAGCACGTGTGGCCTTGGCTGGGTAGAGGAATCACAAGTTAATACTGCCAAAATCCTTTCTCACAGGCAATCCTACACCCAACTAATGAACCCAAAAGATATGTACAAGAACATGCATAGTAGATTTATAATAGTAAAAAACTACAAACAACCCTGATATTCTCTGACAATAAACAATGGCAGAGTCAAACATTGAAATAATATACAGCAATTTGACTATATGCAAAACATGGATGAACCTGACAAAAAACAAAAATGTGTGATATAAACCAGACACAAAAGAATATGTACTGTCTACCTTCCATTTATGAACTGAGCAAGGTTTACACAAATAATGTTTACAATCATTCAATGTATACCCTTTGTGATAATTCCTCAAACTGTACACTTATGATCTATAAACATTTCTGTACATTAAACCACACTTCAATAAAAAAGCATCAAAAGAAATGATAGTAATGGATTACTATCCATTCAATTTTTTAAAATTTTCCTATCAGCCTCACGCCTATAATCCCAGCACTCCAGGAGGCTGAGTCAGGATGATCACTTGAGCCCAGGAGTTCAAGACCAGCCTGAGTAACATAGTGAAATCCTGTCTACAAAAAATTTAAAAATTAGCCAGGTTTGGTGGCTTATACCTATAGTCTCAGCTACCTGGGAGGCTGTGGTGAGAGGATTGCTTGCCTGGGAGGTTGAGGCTGCAGTGAGCAGTAATCACACCACTACACTCCAGCCCGGGTGATAGAGTGAGACTCTGTCTCTAAAACAAGAAAAAAAAAAAAATCCATGTATAATAATACCTCATAAAAAGGAGAGAGAGGAGTTAATAGGAAAGATCTTGATAGAATGACATCTAATTAACATTAAAGAAATGACAAATTAAGAAAAAACATTGAAACTCCTAATGTAATAATTGATTCAAATAAGGATCAGTAGTGGTGCTAAAAGCACTGGTAAAATCTTGTGGAGAAATAGAATATTCAAATGTTCTCAAAGTATCCCACCAAAGATTACTATTAGTTGCAAAGGGGAAAAATCTACCTGAAAAGGCCTGGCAGTCATCATTCTACCAAGTGGTCATTATCAGGATGGGCTGATATTATATGCTTCCTTATGTAATGTAATGGGAGGTTACAAAAAAATCACTGGTGTACTTCCTGGAAATGTCTGAATTAAATCTGACTATACAGGACATCTGGGGGACAACATGAAAATGGACAATATGCCAGATGATGTTTTAAATTAATGTTGATGTTTTTAGAAAATAAAATGGAGCTGTGGATAGTAGAAAGCTATTCTTGTTCTTAGGAGATACATGCCAAAGTAAAGGTGAAGTATCATGATGTCTGCAGCCTACCTTCATATAACTTGGCAAAATAAAAGTGTGTGTGTTTATGTGTGTGTGTGTGTGTGTGTGTGTGTGTGCGTGTGCACATGCAGACATGTATCAGAGAACATATTGGAATGGCAAGATGTTAACAGTTGGTGAATACAGGTGAAAGTTATACAGGTTCATCCTCTAATTTTTCCATGGGTTTGAAAACTGTCAACATATAAAAAATTTAATTATAACTAGTTCAAAAAGAGGAATAACATTAAAAATTATTTCTAAATAGCATGGTTTTTAATGTGTTATTTGAAGCAATATTTTACAAAAAGTGTAATTAAAACAAACCACTCTCTACTAAAATCAAGCTACCATCAGTTATACAATTGCTGTTAAACATGCTAAGTTTCTATCAACTCACAGTAGGACATCACGGATATCAGTGATCATAGGATTTACTAAGACAAGAGACCATAAATGTAGAAACTACTTTTTTTAAAAAGGCAGGATAAATACTCGGAAACTAGTTTTTAAGATGTACTCAACAGGTCTGGCTTCAACTCTGGTACTGTGTCACTTAGTAATCAAGGATCACAATACAGACTGCAGAACACTCAAAATGCAAACAACCTTTATGTTTTGAGCTCTCTTGCAATTTTTGTTTGCCTTAAACTATAATTAGGTTTTATCAGCAAGCACTTAAGAAAATTTCAGGAAGATAATTACAAAATGAAATATAGGACATAAAATAGTAATATATTCAACAGAACTACTACTAAGATTTTCAAACATATTAAGTATTGCTTTGATTTTTTCAGAAAACTATCCATATGAAAAAGAAATGTTCACTCGAGTTGAATGCTAACTACAGATAGTAAATATTTTAAAGCATAATCATATGTTAAATTTCTAAGATCACACACAAGGCACAACTCAAGAACTTTCATCTTTGCACTATTTGCAATGACTGTTATTAGAGTTCTGCCCTTTCATCTAAAAAGCTTTCAAGTTGTGCTATGGTAATATATTTAAGAAAAAATTAAAAGGAAACCAATTATGTAAGACAAAGTGCCCCCCAGAAGCTCTAAAAACAATCTAACAGTAAAATGTTGAAACATGGAAGAATAAAAGAGAAAGCCTAAAAACTCTTAGAAGGTTATTGATTTTAAAAAGTGTATCTGTATTCCAAAATGTAAAGCTCCCTGGATAAAAAAATAACTAAAATAACATAAATATTCACTGATCTAATTCGAAAGTCATGCTGTAATATTTAAAGAAAACCTAGATAATCTGCAGCGCTTTTGAAGAACTCTGACATCTCTTGTTCAACAAGAATTCTGAATTCAGATGCCATAAAAATGAAATAAGGGAAGAAAACTGTCTTTAAAATGTCCTAAAAGACGGAAATTTCTACACAGAAACATTTAAACAATAAAATAGAAACTATGTTCACTGAAGAAAAAATTAAATTTTTCGAAGATATTGTGGCTGCAGTTTAACCTGAAATTAAAAACAAAAAGCAAAAGCAAAACAATCTTATGAGGCCCAGTACGTATCCCTTAAAGCCAATTGAGTTGTATTACCCTATTTTTGACATAGACCAAAAAACAATGTGCAAAACAGACCTGGTTCAAATTTCACTTTTAGGGAAAAAGCAAGGAACTTTTATTTATTGTTTTTCTTTTTTGAACCCCTGTTTTGACATGTAAGAAAGGAGGGAACTTTTAAAGCCACCAGATGCATCACACCTTTGAAAAAAACACTTTATTAGTAATTAACAGAAGTTGCTCTAAAGACAAAAAAGAAGGGTAATCACAGATGTCTAATCAAGGTATTGTATAACTGGGCCACAAGGAAGAATAAAGCTAAGCAAAGAAAAGTTATTATAGGTCTGTGGGCCAGAGCTACAAAATAAGAGATTTACGAAATAACATTTTTAAAGGACCAGATAACTACACTACAGATGTAAGGCCTATATCTTAACTAATCACAGCTGCTGATTCTATATCCAAATAATTCTCAAATCGATTCACTTACTGTCTATCAAATCTTCATTCATGCTATCATTATAACTCTTCCCTGGTTGACTGCATTAGACTTCAAACAAAACTCCCTTCCACGCATTCTTTTAAACCTACCAAAGTTATCATCTTTAAAGTGCTATATACTCTCACCTTTAACCACCTTGAGTGACTCTTCCACTTACTGGATTTAGCCACACTGGCCTCCAAGTCCCCTAAAAAGTCCAGTTCTTTCCTGCCTCAAAAGCTTCATATGTCCCTCTTGCTAAAATGTTTTTCCCAAAACCTTACCCTGACTAATGCCTACTTTAATTTTCAGTTTAAATGTTTCTTCCTCTAGGAAGATTCCATGATCCACTAGAGCGGCCTCTAAGCCTTAGTAGAAAGACAGGAAAATGTGATTGCTTCTGTATACTAATAAATAATGTACTACATGGTGGTGGTTTTCCTCATT